ACTGGTGAGTTGCACGTGAACATTTCGAGTTATTTTTGGTATTGTTCATATAATAGCACATAATTCACTGGTGAGTTGCACGTGAACACTACGAGTTATTTTTGGTATTGTTCATATAATAGTACATAATTCACTGGTGAGTTACACGTGAACACTACGAGTTATTTTACTCTCGGTATAAGAAAGAATTTAATTCACTAGGCTATTAATAAAAGAAGTATACAAAATGTGGACATGGAATATTTTCCTTACTAATTTCGTTCAAGCCACATAAATTGAACGATATGGATTCTTGTAAACAACCAAACAATCGTATCACTGAAGTTATACGTTTAAATAATTACAGCATAGAATATGAATGTGACTTTATTATTGGGACGTTATTATTTGTGGAATATTGGCTTGACGTTCTAATATGAATAGAGATTGACCAAACTTATCAGGAATTGTTGCACATTTGAGTCATACGGGATTCTACAAGACCGAAATGTCACATTCACACAGGGTGGTACCCTGTTCCGTATTTAACGCTATTAAGGATACTGCTAACGCAGATTTTTCATGAGGGGGATATTTTCTCTACCACCACTCTTATCGTGCCTTGCCACCAAAATACCCTGACCTAACCCTAACTAATTATGTGGCTTTCTGAAAATATGAGTCTATCATCATAATCCAACAACCAAAGGATACGCTGCAACAGATTTGGACGTTTTCTGAGAAGATAATACATGCTTCTATGTATAATATCAATATCAGTATGGTTGGAATATTCAAACATGATGGTGGTAGTATTGACCTATTGCTATGATGATAACCCTAGTGCCTTTTCCAAAAACCAGGTTAGTGCACTTTCTGTAATGACTTATTCATGTTTGCAAAATATTTCGACTGTATATTCACAAAGTTTGCCCAACAGACCATACTGGCTTCATAACCCACCCTATCTGTAATGTGAAGGCAACATTTCAAAGTTATTCACATGAAATATAATCACATTCTGCACTGTTTGTTAGAATAACAATTAAACTAATATAAACTATTCAGTTGTTTTAATCTCTTGTGTTTATTTTAACTTGCTAATACAGCAACTATGAATTAGATGAGTTATCTGTGCATCCAAACAAAACAAATATTTCAAATGACAGTATTATTGGATACAAGCCGATAGCTAACATACCTGACACTGGCCCTCTGGAATTTAATTTTTTGTTTGTTTCAAATTTTTTCGTTCATAGCCGTTCCTAATTTTGAGCTGATACACTAAAGGGAAAGCAGCTAGTCAATAGCATCCAATGCCAATTCTTGGGCTACTTTTATCTGACAGATAGTAGGATTTGGTTATCACTCTTACAGCACAACTACTGGCAAAAAGTGCGAAGGGAGAGTTTTTTTTTGGCAGCAGGAAACCATGAAACCTTAGTATTGATAGTCCGGAACGCTAACTACTAGAACACGCCCAGCCCAACGTCAAGAAAAGTTGCAAATATTTACATGTATGTGAAATTAAAAGTTGACCGTAAAAAAAAGAAAAAATGAATTGTTACGTTCTTAGAAAACATCTACCAAAACGATTGTTTGATTGAAAATCTGACTAGCAGGGTGCGTCCATTAAGCAATGAAATCCAATAATACCAAATAATTAAGAGTAACACAGGAACATTATTAAACTGAATTTGTCTGTACAAGTAATATCTCGTTAAAAGAAATACAAAGATAGATAAAAGACAAAAAAGTATAGAATAAAGGATAAAAACATTAGATTAACTGTATGTGCCATTCGTAATTCATAATCAAATAAAATAGGAATGATCGGCTCTTGTGTAATTTTAAAACCAAATAAATAAAATACAACTTTAGTAAAAATAAAATATAACTTTAGTAAAGCGTTGTATTTTATATATTTATTTGAGAATAAATCATGTTAAAAAATAATATAAAATAAGCAATTACAAAATACTAAACAAATTAAACGTGTGTGCGTGTGGGGGTCTAAGTGTCCTTGGGGCGTGCAAAAGATTCATAAGCTTTAAGACCATAAAGCATTATAGGCTTAAGGACCATAAGCTTCATAATCTTTAGGCATAGGTGAAAGCATCGTAACCTCGCTGCTTTGTTTTTTCTCTCTCTCTGTACTTTGGGTATGACTGTCTATCTAAAGTCTTTTTTTTTAGACTGGCAGGAAACGAAACAAATGCTCGATAACACATAAAAAAAGATGTCTTGACGTGGTGGCATGGCTTTAAATTACGCTCATCCATCAATTTTGGGAGGGATCGTTTCTGACTTATTGTGTATTGAAGTAGAATGAGTCAAACAGTCTTTCAATGAGATTAAAAACCGTCTTATAGTGGCTTATACCGATCAGAAACGACATTATAGATTGCATCCTGTCTGTAGTGGTTATAAAAGCTTAGTTGACGGTTCCATTGAGTCTGGTAAGAAAGGGAAGATAATATTATTTATAAAGAAATGTGGTAAACTATTAATTGATTACAGTATGATCATTACAAATAATGTGGCGCATTGTTAGTTAAAATGTAATTATTCAGTCCAAAAATGAATAGATTTTCTCCTAGCCAGACGGTTTCCAACATTATGGGCCATCCGCCATCTTGGGGTCATAGGTCAAATATTTCTAATCTTCTGCCTTACTACTTGTTATAATGTCATAGGTAAAAGACTGTTTTCATAGTTAGTAGGTTTTCCTTATTTTAGTATAAAACATTTAAAATTCAATTGTATTCATTATAAAAACTAAGTAGAAAGAGGCTTATATGATGAAATTGTCTTATACGTAGTAATATTAACAATAAAAGTGTGTGATATAAAAATTAGGACGTATCTCTGTACACATCTCTAGATTCAAACGATGCATATAGTTTTCATCTTATCAGGTTTTTTTTAATCCCTTATGATTGAAGAATGTCTCTTAATTACTTTCATTAGTCGATAGAAATACATATACAGCACACAGGGTTACGTTAACAGAAATTATCTTAATAGAATCACGCGAACCAAGAAATTCTATTTTGACATAATTCATATTTATAATTGAAAACAATAGGCACGATCACAGCTTGTAAAATTAATTATTAAGGAATTGCGTAATTGATAATTAGCTTAAATTAGTATCCTGAAATTTCATTTATATGAATAAATGTATATCTTGTATAAATTATTTGTTTGTTGATGACTTCACTCTTATAACTCTCATTTCTGTGTCATTAAACGTTATAAAATGTACAGCTTGAATAACGAGAATATAAGTTAAACTATTATTAATTCTCATCTTGGGAATAATGGTTTTACTGTGTTTTTCTGGCATATATAAGCTATAATATAAAGTTTTTTCAATACCTACAAAATATTTTTTCTTACCACATGCCAGAGTAACAGATACTAAATACAGCAAGATTTCTTTCATTCTATTAAACCTGTTAAGCTTGTATGTTAGTTCAGTGTGTTTAATTTATTCGCCACATCATAGCATGTGTTATTTTTTAACCTCAACATAATATTGTTTTGAGATGCTTTATTTGAAAATACAATTACGCTGAAAATGTAATTTAGTTTTTAATAGCACAGAATGATCCTTTTATATACCAATAAAATATAATTTCCAAAAACTCAAATAGTAAATCATCAACATTCATATTTGGTTATCATTAAGTCCTCATAAGAGCTATTAAAATTAAAAAAGGCCAGATGATATATTCCAACATCAAGAAACGAATCAGAAATTTGAGCGACCGGGTTACTAGTCGAAGAGCCATGAGTTCCATTAGATGATCAGTTTATTTGCCCCAGCTTTGGAAGAGACCTTGTCTTTGACATCGACAGTTGGTGCCCCACAGGTTACAACGACAAGAGGAACTCCCACAACAAGAGTTTGGACGAACATCACAGCTTCTCCCACGAGCAATACAAGCTCTCCTGTAGGATATAAATGTTACTTCATTTTCGACGAACTCTGAGTTAATGAATACTAGGAAAACACACACACACATATATATAGATCGAGCATTAAATGTTTTTGCTTGAATGCAAAGCTGCACAATAGGCTATCTGCGTTGTTCCCACACCTCGGGGATCGAACTTTAATTTTTTAAGCTCTCAAGTTTACCGCCGAGCCATCGATTTGTTTGGTTTAGGGGTTGTCTACTGATACAATGAAAGTTTTGATATCAGTATTATTTTCTAGGTTCTCAGGAGTATTTTTTATTATGCATGAAAATGTAACCTAATGTATTTTATAACCTGAGATTATTAAAGGAAAAGGACTTATGTTCAAATCATATACACTGAATATAAAAAAGACTAAAAAAAACTTACTTATGAGCAAAAGGCAAAATCTGTTGCAATTTTTCTCGGTATTCTTCAAGCTGTTCTTCTTCTGAAAATGTAAGATGAAAAATATCTTATATATAATTTATAAAAATTAAGTTAGATCAAAGTTTGTAACAAATAATTTTGTACAAATTTCTTATGGATAGAATAATTCTACTAGTATTCTCCTGATATTTCTGAAATGACTCAAAACTTTCATAGCTGACAGATAGTGAAAGAAAATGTAAATCAAACAATTGGATATTAAACGTAAACGCATAAAGAACCAAAAAAATTGGATTTTTTGAACTGGTATCGTGAGATAGAACAGACGAAAGACATTTTAACGTGATATTAAAACGAACGCTGTAAAACATTATATCTTGGGATTACTTGGAAAACTATTCACATGTTAAACTGCATTGATTTTCAGCATATTTTGTGAATATTTTTTTGTTGAAAAAAGGGTATTCACATTATATGAATTTGAATTTCTAGAACATGATTGTTTTAGACATTTTCCATACTGACGTCTTCGTTTATTTATTTTTGTTAATAGTATTATTTTATACTTAATATAATTTATGAAGTACAATGTTCAACTTATATAGAAAACAAGTGGATAGTAATAATGACTAGTTTAGTCGTTCAGAGCAATACAAGTTCTGTAGTGTTAGATATACACGACTGTTTAATTTAAATTGAATACTAGAGTTATGATTTAGATAGTTATAGTGCACGAGTGTTAAATTTAGTATTTCTAAAAGCGATAATTTATCGTAGGTTTTCTTATGTAACTGTTTACGAATCATTTGTTGTGTAGTTCAGTTGTTATGATTTGACGTCACCTTACTCGAACTTTCTGTATTTTTTCGTTGCTATAAGTGAGTATTGTTACATCATAATGTCGCGTAGTTTGAAGAAAGTTCTGGGCCTCAGTCGGGCAATATGTACATGTAGACGACCAAGTTAGTGCAAGTAAGTAAGTTAAGTTAGTGAAAGTGAAGTTAAACTGTGTGTCAGTTTAGCCATAACAGGTGATCTCTAAAGTGAGTTTCACAGCTTGTATTGTAATAACAGAGTAGAGGAGAATAATTTTTCGTGTCAAAGGGCATTCTAAACTAAGTGAATCCATTTGCGTGGACATTGACGGAAAAGAGACAAGTATTTAAAGCTCTGGATACAACTGTGATAACCAATAATGTAACGAATTTATGCATATACGTTTCTCTTGTTTTGAATATATTATTTTAAAACAGTTGGATTGTATGCTGTTTGTTTATTGTTGAAAGTTGTCGCTAACAAGTGAAATACACCTACTGTGAAAAATCCGGCCCAATAAAACCTGACAGGTAGGAACGGAGTAAGTTTGCTCCTGATCATCTTTTAAATAGTCTTTTGTTTAAAACATCATTAAAACTATCACAGGATCAACTAATCAGATGATAAATATTTCTAATAGCGCTACAATATGCCTGTTATTTCTCATATCCTCACGTGTATAAAATAATCCTACAGGCTTACAGTTATGTAAGTATCTGTAATTCTCATTTGTTACATCAAATAACTATATTATTAGAATCACATTTTTTCTGTAATTATAAGAGCTTATAATACAGGTTTAGTAACGTTTCTAAAGGAAGAAACATCAACTATGAAGCAATGATAAATGTTTTGATTTTTTGTTAACATAATGGATGAGCCTAGCATGGCCTGGTGGTTAGGGCGCTGGATTCGTACACCGCGGCTCATGAGTTCCAATCCACTCACCGAAAATGCTCGCCCTTTTACTCGTGTGGGCGTTATAATTTGAATATCAATTTGAAGAACAATCCAAGGGTTGGCAATGGGTGGTGTTGACTAGTTACTCTCTAATTTAGGGACAGCTAGCGCAGATAACCCTTGAATAGCTTTGACCGAAAATCAAAAACAAACAAATTAATGTTTGCATAAGTTTTAAACAATTCATTTATCATATCTGTTGCCAGCAAGGATATGCATTAAAGGCCATAACTAGAGTTCAATAAAAGTAATAAATATATATATTTCCATTATCAGTCAATACACCCAGTTCCCCATGGGCGCAGCAATATGTCAGCAGACTTACAACTCTAGAAATCGGGTTTCGATACCCGTGGTAGGCAGAGCACAGAAAGCCCTTTGTGTAACTTTGCGCTTAACTACAAACAAACAATACGCACACCAGTGCCAGTGGTTAAACGGTAAGCTTGACGACTTACACTTAAGATATGAAGTTCAATACTCGTGATGGGCACATTGCACATAGCCTATCGTGTAACTTAGAGTTCAAACCCAAACAAATTAATTAATTAACACAGATAGGCGCTTCAGTGAATTTAAATACATGTAAAGTAAGCTCAAAGAAAATTTCATGGAGATATTTGAAATAATTCAATTAACTTTGAAATAATTGGTAAATAAAAGTTTATTGGGCTTGAAATATTTTATTTTATTAAGTCAAATCAAGTCGAATTAAGGCGAATCTCCGTTTCTAAAACAATTCCATGACATTTGAAATGATTTAGTGAAAATAATGATATGAAAATATTCAAATGTTCAGAAAAAGAAATTATTGCACAATTTTTACACCTAGCATCCTCCAAAAGTAATCTAACTTTGACTTACATTTAAAAGAACGTAAAGCAATTTCTAAAGAAAGCAATGTAACGACACAGTTATTTTGTATGTGATTAAAACTCCATACTTTGAGAAAATGCATTCCTGTACTTCGTGAGTTTCTGAATTAGGGAAAAAACAAGAAAGCTTGATAGTTCTTGAATAAACATTGAACAGGTGACAGGTAATTCGTATGAAGTAATTGATTATTGACTCAATCTTATAAACGAAATAAATCTTTATTCTTCAACTAGCTGTACTGAATACATGATGAAATGTAATAATAAGGTAAGGTCCACAAGACGGATAGAATTAGCTCCCAAACTTGGTTGAAAAGTTCAATTAAAAAGGTATAAAATCAGATGGTCTGTATGACAAACTAAAACATGACTAATTCATATTTAACGTGTGACAATTAGAAGGCTGTTAGGAAAACATTCACACAAGGCATAGCTTCTCAACTCTAGCGTCTTATTCGAATTCTCTGAAAGAACTAATACATTTCAGAAATAGAGATAGCGCGAAAAAAGAAAAACAGCCAATAACAAAGTTACATGAAGGGGTAACATTTCACAAGAAAACAGTGCCCCCTATGCAGCTAAAATGCCGACAGACGAGATGCTGTCTCAGTCAACAACACTGACACACTGCCGTATCGCGTTCTCACTTTAAAGTATGGCGGTCACTCACTGCGCACATTTCAGTTAAAGTATCAGTGCACTAGATTATAAGGAAGTAAGTTAACAGAGCTAGACACCACATTTTGATAAACTATATTTATGATGAAAACGTTCTAAATTAATGATCTTTTCTAATGAATATCGCACATAGAATTAGAGATAAAACTGAAGTGTAATATATTCTTTTTTACATTGTATATGAACTCCCAAATTTTCACCAGCAGCTATGAAAATTAGTCAAGTAACCAAATAACATGTTTTTTTTTCCTTTTCATCTCGTAGGATTTTCCATGTTCAAAATGGGACACTAGTCAATGGAGAAAGTTAAAATTATTCTGCTTTTTTACAACTCAAATACTACTCAAGTTTTGGAATAAATGTCGGTCTCGATAGCTCGATCAGTGCTGTCTTCTTGTTAATAACTCCGTTAGTAAGATAGTCTGAGAAATGTTAAATATGATATCATAAAATATAATATAGTTGCTAAAGTAAAATCATAGCTCAAAGCATCCAATGTTTCTTAGAAAATAAATAAGTACTTTCTTTATCAGTAATCTTCCCCGACTTATTCAAAGAGCAGATTTAGCTGTTCTATAAATACGTAAATATAAATATAGAAACTTATGACATTCAAGCATTGCAGCTAAGCCCTATTTTGTTTCGTCTTGTTGCAATTCATATGACCACTCTTTCTCAAAGAAGCTGGTTTGTAAGTGGATTTTGAATTAATAAGATGAACGACTGGCGTCACAGATCACCATGACAACTGTTTCTAGTTACTAATATTACGCACAAATTCAAGTAACATATCATCTGATACATCAGTGAACAGGTCATAGTTAAGAAGCTTATTGTATTTTTCCCTCAAAAATATATAGGAATTACGACATCAACTATTTGATAAATGAAAGTTATTATAGCGTAATTTGAGTAATATGTGTATTTAATCTATACTAATAACAATAAAACAGAATAATTTTAAAAACTTAAAAATAATATTTGCTTGAATACAATGTAGAAGCACCGCAGATCGTCTGACAAAAAGATGTATATAACCTATAGCAGAGCATTACTGATTAAATGTTTAGATGGAGTGAACTCACATAAATTTATAGATATATATACAAATTTGAAAATATATTTAGTACAAGACCTGATTCATAGCCATATAAACAAACATAAAACATAATTACGAACATATCTTAATTTATTTAGAAACTTTCTAACTACCTGGTACCATTAACTTACTTAACTTTTGTAAGCTCACAAGTGCTTGTTACAAAAGGTGATTCATTTCTATGTTGAAATGGTATTGTATTATAAAATATATGAAAATTTAAACAAGTTCAATGAATTGTTTTAAATTTTATTTCTACTCTGTGTTTATGTTAGGCGAATATGTTGGTTTTCTTTAACTAACATGTGATTTCTGCAGCTGTTTGTTCCAGTCATTATTCGATGTTTCTTAGTCACAGTCAACATCTTATCTGTCAGACAGATAAGATGTTGACTTACTGTCGGAATTTAAATGTTTTAGTTGGTTTGTTCTTCAGAATTGTTTCCTTTAAGAACATTTCTTAGAAAACTTACTAAAGTGTGTGTGTGTTATTAATATTAATAAATTTATTATAGGAATTCTTAAATGTTGTTTTTATCTATTTAGGGATTTTTGAAGCATTTGATAATCGTTATAGAAATAGTCTCTGTTGTGCAGTTTAAATAACAAGCAATCCAATTATCTATTGCGAAAACAATTAAGAAACACACCATACACTTTTATATATAAAAGCATTTGAAGATGCTTGTATCACTTACCATTTGGGGCATAAGGGGTTCCTATGATCGTGTCTGCTAACATCACCAAACCAAAGATTACAGCAATGGCAATGTAGTTCATGACTGGGTAAAATATGGGAACTAGACAATATAATGAAATCAGTTAACTATGAAATACAAAACCGAATTACAGACAAGAGGAGATCGATATCCTCAAAGCTGACTACCACAACTAAAAAAAAATAATATCAGAAGTTTAACCCTTATCAATTTCTGATACGCCGACTTAAGTAAGATGCATTACAACCACATTCTTCATTAACTAACATAGTTTAGCTGTAATCTATACCATTTTATATTTTTATAACTTTCTGAGAAACGCTCATTTTCCATTAAAATGTACTTTTTGTAATGTTACTCTGCAAATCTGGACTAAGTATAAATATTAGATGTGTTGTGATGAGAAATAAGATGTTTAACAATGAACCAGTTTCTTTCTATTTACGAAACTTCAAGATTGTTTTATTTTCAGATTTGTTATCGTACTTTCTTTGTTGTTTTATATTGTATCACTAATATAAATGTTTAAATTTGTTTTTTTGTGCAACTTCCCCTACTACTAACAAAAAATGTCGGTAAATGTTATGTATATGAATTTAACTAAAGAACCAGATTCAACAAATCCAGAGTGGAAATCACTAAAATCAAATTACACTCACAATGGTTGTTACGTCTTACATTTTCATATTTTTATTTGTTTGTTATGGATTTCGCGCAAAGACTAGAGGGAAGGCAGCTAGTCATCACCACCCACCGCCAACTCTTGGGCTATTCTTTTACCAACGAATGGTGGGATTGACCGTCACATTATAACGTCCCCACGGCTGAAAGGGCGAGCATGTTTGGTGCGACAGGAATTCAAACCCGCAGATTGTGAGTCGAGCGCCCTAATCACCTGGCCATACAGGGCCTACATTTTCTTATGAAAAGTGAATAATGTTTTTGGCTACAAGGACGTCACAATTTTTTTTTTGCATCCTACTTCTTAATTTAACTGTCGCTAAAATTACTACATGACAAAATTTCATATATGAAGATTAATATTAGTTCAAAAACTTACAGACAAAAGAGTGTGTACAGCTGTAAGACAAAGTTTAGGTTGAAAAATAGGTATTTATGGTTTGTGTTAAGATTAAATATAATAATAATAATTGTTTAAAAAAATCTAAAACTTGAATTTTGTAAGGTACTATATACAACTTTAAATTGGATTTATTCTTGAGAATATTTAGTTATCTTGAAATTACCCATAGTAACTTCGTGTCAGTGGCGCTACCTGTAGCAAATGGAAGAAATTCAAAGCAGAATAAATGTTTAATGCTTGCATATACACTTCACCCATCAGCCAACTACACATTTTGAATACTTACATCTCTTTGAAAGTCTTGAGTGTTTATACGACCAGCATGGCGGTCCAGGTTTCCTAACGTGTGTGTGTTTATGTTGCCAATGTTTTATTCCAAAGCAAACAATGGAAAGCAAAATATTCTAGACACGCTTTAGTCTCTGTGAAATATTTTTGTTCATTCAATACTATTAGTTCCAGTGATTTTTAGGTACTGAAGTACAACATTATGTGTAATACACTGAGCTAGTTAGTGCACACACTCATAACTGTGCACCTGTAAAAGAGCTTTTAACACAGAACGCACTTAGTTAGAGAAGATAAAAAAATAACAAAATCCGCCAATCATCTATTTCAAACATACTCTATGTATGGACTTTCTTTTCTGCCTTTTAATTACATAAAACTAAATATCAAAACTCTTATTTAGTTACTCGGTAGAATGGATACTTCCCGAGTTTCATGTAAATTTACATTTAAAAAGCAATAACGTGCACTTTAGAATAACTATTTCCAATTTTGTTCTAAGAACGAATTCACTATCAAATTTAGCTTCAATCACGTGAATTTCTAGAACGATATGAATCATTAAACAGCAGAAAGATTGAAATGACATCCAAGAATTTTGAAATACCAATTCGTACTCAGATTAAACATTTCCCAACTTGAATTTGTATTCTTTTTTAGATTTGAAACCAATGATTTTGATATTGAAGTTTGGTTGTTGTTGTTGAGCATAAAACTACACTACGGGCTAAGTGTGCTATCTACTTCTAGCGTCGTAAGCCAATGGGAGACTTGAATTTGGAGTGTTTCAAAAGTGTTATTCAAATCTCTTCCTTTAATAATTGCCATAATGGAAAACTGTATGCACTCGTTAGCCGATATCACGACTCAAAAGATGCCTTCAATATAATTAATTTCTCTATTTTTAGCGCTTGATTATTAATTTTCAGACTTTAATTTATACAAGGAATCACCTAGTGATTGAGTTTTATGTATGCTTTCCTAAAGTCAAAAGAAAATATTAGTTAGATATTAAAAAGTGTATCTAATATAAATGAATTAAAATTACTCTGGAAGTTATCATTAATTTTATCAGTTCTTTGGAAATATTTTTAAGGTATATATGAATAACGTCATTTTTTTTGTTTCATATAACATAGACCTTAGTGGACGGACTTTTTAACTTTTATAATATATTCTACATATCCACCAAATACTGGAGAGGCTTGCAAATCAAACATGAATATCTTTACTCATTTAACTGGAATTTCTAGGATTTGAATTTTTCGATATAAGTTCTAGGTTAGAAAATGTCAGTGTGTGTAAACTATTTTGTGGATTCTTGGTTGAAAGAGAACGTTTCATTCTGTACAACTTGCAACGTTCTAGTTTAACTATTCTTCGACTGGGAATTAACAAAATGTCTCTGCAATAATATCAAACGCTGTAGCTTTACTAGTGATTCTGTAATAAAATCAAACGTTGTAGCTATACTAGTGATTCTGTTATAGAATCAAACGTTGTAGCTATACTAGTGATTCTGTAATAAAATCCAACGTTGTAGCTATACTAGTGATTCTTAATAAAATCCAACGACTGTAGCTATACTAGTGATTCTGTAATAAAATCCAACGCTGTAGCTATACTAGTGATTCTGTAATAAAATCAAACGCTGTAGCTTTACCAAGGTTTCTACAGTAAAATAATATGTTGTAATTTTACCAGTTTTTCTGCAGTAAGATCAAATGCTATAGCTTTACTAACATCGAAAACTTTATCATACTCTGTATTCTTCTTCTTGAACCAGTTTCATAACTTCTTAGACTACTCACTACGCACACTATCTGAATCTCACGTGACCTAAGTTGAATAAAACATAAAACATACTGAATTCCTAAACGTCCTGTATTTAAATGTTATTATTATATTGCAATTATTGAAGCTTTAGTTTTAACAATAAAGTAATTTGACTAAAATATATATCCATCTTTAGAAAATGCTTCATATTTTAAGAGCTCGATCATAGCTCTATGAAACTACAAAGCGAATCAATTATTATCTGTCTAATGGGTTGGACAGCTATTTTACACATGATCGGAACAAACGAGCTGCACATTTATCAATCACTAAATCAATCAACTTATAAGATAAAGTGTGTAATATACACTGATTGTACAGATAAAAACTCAGACTCCGTTTAAAACATATAACCACATGAAAACTAATGTTGACAAGACGTATCAGTACAAAATGCTCGCCAAAAATATATGGACATATCTTATGAAAACTAATGTTGACAAGACGTATCAGTACAAAATGCTCGCCATAGCGAACTCCAAAAATATATGGACATATCTTCATAGCGAACTCCGAGTGATCGCTTTCACGCCATATTGGTCTGTTGCCATGTTTCATGACCTCAGTTAAGCTATGACATATGTGTAGCATAATATATATCCACTGTTATTTCAAAAGTTCAATCAGTTGGTAATAACTAGAAGGCTATGGCCTGGTATATTGAGTTACACTCTCCAGATTTTCCCAAATAAATGGTTCAATAATGTTAAGATCTAGGATAGGGGCAGACAAATTTCAACATATTAATATTGTTACTTTAACGACGTAAAAATGTAAAAAAACTGTGTCATGGGCCATATAACCTGTTCATTTACAACATATTGATACCTACAGATATTTAAGTGTGAAACTTACTCATTCAATATACAAAATGAAGCCCATAATAGATCAGCAGATTAGAAGTATAAAGTACTTCTGAATTGTTGTTAGATAAAGTTAGTGAATATGATTACACATTGAACCATAAAAAATGTTACACGCTATAATTAATATACGAATATATATTTTAATTACAAAGTCCAAAGGTTATTCGTAGATAGCTAGGCCTACAACTAGTTATTACCATATATCGCATTATTCTGTTAACTTATCTAAGCCTTTTCTTACAGATATATAGTATTCCTTGGTTCTTTTTGAGAAGACGATTTGTTTTCAGAGGAGTTAAGAAAATCACAGATGAAAAAGGAAAGAAAAAGCAGTAACGTTATTAACTTTGATCGGAACTTTTTTTTCAGCATTTTATAACTAAAATATTTTATCATATAAAGATAGCTTGAATGCTGACTTAAGTAGAAGAATCACGCGTCGAAGGAAACTGTTTGTAGTGATGAGAACTATGAACCAGGAAATAACGCCCATGATTCAAAGATTCCAAAGATATGTATTAAGTTTCCTTAGTGTATATGTTTGTAGAAATCTTAGAACAAAGTAATAGAGGGTTACTGAAACAAGAGATGTAAACAGTTTAGTGTGGTTATATATTAGTTAGATAATACTCGAGAAGGAAACATAGCACAAAATAGAGATAATATGCTAAGCGATAGTTGTTAATAGCTTTCAACTGGTAATCCTAACTGACACATATGTCACTTGACTATCATCGCAAAGAATCTTTAATACAGAAGCGTGCCTATTAACCATCTGGCAAAAGTACGACAAGCTGACTATACTCCTGATAGGAAGAACTAAGACTATACTGTACTTACCAGTTTCAGTGTTCAATGTAGGCAGTCTGCACTCAGTATTGGAGTTATCACCGTAAGAATCCGTCTCTTCCATCTCTTGAGACATTTATTTACCACAGTTATTTTTTTTTGTCTTTCTGAGCATGCGTAAATTGGTTGATCGATAGGAAATGTATATCTATACTGTTCTAAACAAGTTTCAACTCTGAAACCCGTGATGCCGACTACTGAATTTCGTTAAAATGCTGAGTTACAATTTTAGTTTTTGGGGGAGGAAATTGAATTTCCCTTTTACGATGTTGACTAGCATAGAGATCCTATCGTCATCTTAAAGCAGTCTGATTTTATAGAAATAACAAAAGCTGTTTTGGTGACGGGTTATTTGCAGATATCACATTAACCATAGGTTATTACGGACGTGAACGCTGAAAAAATGTCGAGATTGCTTTGGTGCCTGCTGGTGCATGAATGCCTGGTGAAAATTTATTGTAAAATTTAAGATAATGTGCCTTGATACCTAGTGCTCAGGGGATGTTAACCTTAACATTATATATTTGTGACACTCTTTGTGATGACCCCCAGAGGCTTAGCGGTATAGAAGTTTATAACGCTAACAAACAAGTTTCGGTACCCGTGATGGGCGCAGTACAGGTAGCCCATTCTGTTGCTTTGCGCTTAACTACAAATAAACATTCTTTGGTTGTTAGCTATAAAACTATATGTTTACTACGCTATTTGTAGAGTGTATGCTAAAATATGTATCATAATTCTCACTTCTCAGTAGATTTTATGACCAAACAAGTGAAAATTGTGTATGAAATTAACTCAATACTGTCTGGGCGTATCAATTTTTATTAATAGTTCAGAGAATAGCCTTAATACTGCATGACTGGACATGACTTTTGAAATATTTTAGAGAGTAATATATGTTTGGATTTTTGTTTTGTAGCACAAAGCTACACAATGGGCTATATGCGCTCTTTCCACCATGAGGAAACGAACCCCGGATTTTAGCGCTGTACGTCCGTAAACTTACAGCTGACCCATATCAGGGGTCTTTTCCGTTTGTTTTGAAAATAACAACAGTAATGGAATAAAATAAAATAATTAATAGTAAAACATTATATGATATTTATTTAGTGAATTCTGTGATATTAAACAATATTTTTTGAATAAATCTTCATCTTTGTTTCTATTTCTCCATATAAATTCACAAAGATAAGTTTGTTTGTTTCTTATGGATTTCGCGCAAAGCTACACGAGGGTTATATGCGCTAGCCGTCCTTAATTTAGCAGTGTAAGACTAGAGATAAAGGCAGCTAGTCATCACCACCCACCGCCAACTCTTGGGCTACTCTTTTACCAACGAATAGTGGGATTGACCGTCACATTATAACGTCCCCACGGCTGAAAGGGCGAGCATGTTTGGTGGACGGGGATTCGAACCCACGATCCTCAGATTGCGAATCGAGCGCCCTAACCACCTGGCCATGCCGGGCCCACAAAGATAAACTGGGCCACATACTTGATTTATTCAAAAGAATATTGGTTAATATTGCAGAATTCACTAAATAAATATGAGTAACTACTAATTATGGCTTTTGTAGTAACTCAGAGAATAACGTCAATACTGGTTAATCATGATCTTTGTAGTATGACATTTGTGCAGAATGCTCTCGATATAGCTGGTTATGTCTAACGGAGAGTGAATTATTGACATATAATGATCGTAAATATTAATCAAATAAAAAAATGGTCATGATACTGATTGGTTCTGATTATTGTAATAACTCAGATGGTACTCGCAGTAACAGATTAGTCATGATAATTTTTTATATTGAAGTTTCAATGCGAGTTAATATTTTAATTTTATTTGTTTGTAGTTAAGCACAAAGCTACGCAATGGACTGTCTATTCTCTGCCCACCACAGGTATCGAAACCCGGTTTTTAGCGTTGTAAGTCCGCAGACATGCCGCTGTGCCGCTAAGTGGCATAACCATACATAATCTCTACTGAGATACTGAGACTACTGTATGAACTAAAAAATAATAATTAACGACTACTCTGTATTAAAAATATTACCAACAGTACACAAGAATGACAGACAGTTAACTACCAACAGTACACAAGAATGACAGACAGTTAACTATCAACAGTACACAAGAATGACAGACAGTTAACTATCAACAGTACACAAGAATGGCAGACAGTTAACTACCAACAGTACACAAGAATGACAGACAGTTAACTATCAACAGTACACAAGAATGACAGACAGTTAACTATCAACAGTACACAAGAATGACAGACAGTTAACTATCAACAGTACACAAGAATGACAGACAGTTAACTACCAACAGTACACAAGAATGACAGACAGTTAACTACCAACGGTACACAAGAATGACAGACAGTTAACTACCAACAGTACACAAGAATGACAGACAGTTAACTACCAACAGTACACAAGAATGACAGACAGTTAATTACCAACAGTACACAAGAATGACAGACAGTTAACTACCAACAGTACACAAGAATGACAGACAGTTAACTATCAACAGTACACAAGAATGACAGACAGTTAACTATCAACAGTACACAAGAATGACAGACAGTTAACTACCAACAGTACACAAGAATGACAGACAGTTAACTATCAACAGTACACAAGAATGACAGACAGTTGACTTAACTTCAAACAAATATTTTTCGACACTATTCTAAATTTTTGTAAATAATTTATTCATTCTAGTATATATGATTATTCTAGTAGCATCCGTTGGGAATCGGATGCCTTCTTTCAACTACTAAACTAGATAACATGACTTAATTAAAGCCAAGTGCTGCGCTCAAGCCTATTTAAGTGATTAAACAATTAAGAACGTATTCAACTACCTCTATTATCCAGTACTTGACGCTTACCTATATAATGGACATTAATCCCTCCAAACGCTTAAAACTACAGGCGATCATTTTAAAGCATGTTGCATAATGCCTCAAATGAACAATACCTTTCTCAGATTTACGTCTGTGGCTTTAGGAGCGACAACTTTCGGAAAGTAAAAAAAGAATGGGATATAAGATAATGGAAAGAAACAAAGAAGCCTGATTCCATGTTTGGTGAAAGCATATTAAGACCATGCTTTGGGTATATTATTAATCAAGTACACACTAACAGAAAATTCGAATAAACAAATCCCCAGTCAGTACTAGTGAGAGTGTAGTTATCTCCTAACCAATAGGGGAAGGTAAGGTAAGACGGCCATTTTAACTTGGGATAAGATTTTCACCTATTAAAATTAACGTCTTGAAAAAAAAAAAAGCAAAAGATTTTAAAATGAACCTCATTTTACTATAAAAGATTATTTTTTTCAGATACTGAAAAACGCAGTTCTTGGGATTGGATACGTTTCAACTACAATCCGTGTACCATCTTCAATATATATATATATATATATATATATATATACTTTACAGAGCACT